CCAAGTGTGAAGTCAGTCTAACAAGATGAATCAATTAACAGCAGGATACCAAGGGAGGAAAAATAACTTTTGAAGTGGTAAGAGAGTGGCCAATTACATACAGTTGACAAGAAGGTGTGAGTAACAGTAGGGAGAAATTATTATTAGACTGACCTCACACTTGGTAAAGCAACCCTCCATCCTTTCATGTATTTATACCTGCTCCTGTATTTTCACTCCATGCATCCGATGAAGTGGGTTCTAGCCCACGAAAGCTTATGCCCAAATAAATTTGTTAGTCTCTACGGTGCCACAAGGACTCCTCGTTGTTTTTGCTGATACAGACTAACACGGCTACCACTCTGAAACCTGTCACAAATAAGGTGCTTCGCATGTTCTTGGCTTTTGTTAATTGTTGTTTCTTTTGCTTTTTTGGTTGCTTTTTATTTAAAAGATTTGCTAGCTAGTAAGTCTGCTTCTGTGAAAAGTGATGTTTGTACGTTTGTTAATAGCACGTTTCACAGCAGCAGACTTGCTAGCGAGCTGGGAGGCAGCGAAAAATGATTAACAAACATACAAATATCACTTTTCACGGCAGACTTACACAGATCCAGAAAACTGGAGGGAAAATTAAGCCTGAGATGGGAAGTGGGTAGGGCGGCAGTGGGGGCAAGCGGCAATAGGGGTAGTGGTGAAACCAGGGCCCAAAGCCCTGCAGCAGAGGTCAAGAGCCTGCTGCCGAACAACTGGAGCCTGGGGCTGGAGGTGGCAGCGGGGGCCAGGAGCGATGGGTGGGCGGGGGAGGGTTGAGCCCAGGGCAGGAGCCCAAAGCCCCATGGCTGGAGCCTGCTGCCTGCCACCCCAAGGCTGAAGCCAGAAACCCGAGCCCCACCGCCCCCGACAAGATGGGAACTCACACCAGCTGCCTGCTCCTCCAGCCTTTGAGGCTCCAGAAAGAGGCAGGGCTGAACCCCTGCTGGCAGCCCTGCGGGAGCGGGCAGCAGCTTTGTGCCCCCCCAATCATGGCCCAGGAGGCTGTGGCAGCAAGAAAAGTGGGTAGAACAGAACAAAGGGAGGCAGCCATCATGAGAAATCCCCTAGCTACCACCTGAGCTGGAACAAGGGCTGTACTGGGGAAAGGATTGTGCCCAGACTAGAAAGGTGTGCAGTCTGTGAAAGAAACTTATTGAAACATCTCCGAGGGTGAGATTTTATCTGTATTGAGTTTTTATTACTGTACTAGACTTAGACTTGCATGTTTTATTTTATTTTGCTTGATAATTCACTTTGTTCTGTCTGGTACTACTTGGAACCACTTAAATCCTACTTTCTGTATTTAATAAAATCACTTTTTACTTATTAATTAACGCAGAGTATGTATTGATACCTGGGGGGGAGCAAACAGCTGTGCATCTCTCTCCAGCAGTGTTATAGAGTGCGGACAATTTATGAATTTACCCTGTATACGCTTTATACAGGGTAAAACGGATTTATTTGGGGTTTGGACCCCATTAGGAGTTGGGCATCTGAGTGTTAAAGACAGGAACACTTCTGTAATTTGCTTTCAGTTAAGCTTTTGGGCACGTGGTTCAGACCCTGGGTCTGTGTTGGAGCAGACTGGTGTGTCTGGCTCAACAAGACAGAGTGGTGGAGTCCTAAGTTGCAAGGGCAGGAAAGCAGGAGCAGAAGTAGTCTTGGCACATCAGGTGGCACAGGGCCGGCTCCAGCTTTTTTGTCACCCCAAGCGGCGGGGGGGGGGATATATATATATATATATATATATAAAGCACTTCAGCGGCAGCTCTACCGCACCGCTTCATTCTTCGGCGGCAATTCAGCGGCCGGTCCTTCCCTCCGAGAGGGACTGAGGGACCTGCCGCTGAAGACCCGGACGTGCCGCCCCTTTCAATTGGCCACCCCAAGCACCTGGTGCCTGGAGCCGGCCCTGAGGTGGCAGCTCCTAGGGGGTTTCTGTGATCTAACCCATTACAGTGGGCGGGTGCCTCCCCCAGCCTTGCGGGAGGACCCAACTGAATTCGGGGACAACTAAGGGATAACAGGAATAGGATTGAGGGTCATAGGTTCAGAACTAAGGATCCAGAGGGGGACACTGGGAGAACCCCAGACAGCACCTACTGCTCCTCAAAGGCAGCAGGCGATGCCCAGAGGAACTCTGCCCGGATGCTTGAGACAAGGGAGGAACTGAAATAGGCCCCACAGTCGCAGAGTGCCCGCTCGTCCAGCATCTTCCCCCTGGCATTGTAAATGGCCACTTTGGCCAGTGCCAGGAGGACGTTGACGGGGTCTCATGACTTCATGGGGCCACGGACAGGGTGTGAATATATGAAGAGGTGTGGGGTAAAATGCAGCCAGAACCTCAAGAGGAGGTTCAGGAGGAGCCGGAATAGGGGCTGCAACCTGGCACATTCTAGATAGGCATGTGCCAGGTTCTCCCTCACGCCGCAAAGGGGACAGGTGTTGGGAATGGGGATGAACTGTGCCAGGTACACACCCGTGCTCACGGCTCCATGAAGGAGCCTCCAACCGATATTCATGGCGGGCTGTGGGAGCAGGCAGGAATATAGGCTGGTTCACCGGGGTTCCTCACCCTCTACAGGTGGTAGAAAGTCCCGCCCCCTGGTAGCGGAGCAGGACACGAGGGTAAGGAAGTGAAACATGTGGCGCATGAGCTTGTAAAGTTGTTCCCTCAGCGTTGTTCGGAAGCAAGGACGCGCAGCCGGATCAGGTTATGGAGGAGAGGGGGCTCACAGGACAGGGACCTGGTGAAAAGGTCCGGAGGGCCTGGGGTGAGGGGTGGGCAGGGAGCACCCTCTCGCAGGATCCGCTCAAGGAATACCCGAGAGGTGGGGGATAAGACTGCCCCTACCTCCTTGAGTATGCACAGGGGAGTCTGAAGTGTGAAGAGCCCCATGCAACAACCGAGCGCTCAGGTATCCACATATCTCCCTGTTAGTTACAGATAACACAGAAGAGTCACATTCATACTCGCTTTGGGACTGGGTTATGACATCACTCTGAGTAAACATATCCATCATGATCAAACAGCATACCAACATTGTTATAAACTGGACTTCCAAGATGATACAGGTTCTGCTGTTCTTCCATTGCTTTTTTGATTTGGAGCTTAAGTCTGGCAGTTTCTTGTTGCATCTGGTGAACCCTCTGCTCAGCAGCCAGCCGTTCCATACGCATCCTGTCAGCTTCTCTGGCTCTTTCTTCAACTTGCTTGGCTCACGCTTTGGCTTCTTTTTCCAGCTGGGCCAAGATTTGCTTCTCTTGCATTCTATTGACACCTTCCTTGACACACTTTGTACAAGATTTGTTGCAATTATATAACAGTAGTTGCAACAATGATCTACATAGTCATATTTTATCAGCTAAAGTAACACGGTTAAACCTTAGTCTTTGTTGATAAACTCCTGTTTGTTTTCACTACAAATATATCTCAGTGCTGTGATGTTATATTGGCGCTGATCCTCAATTGAATCGAACAAGCTGGCCTTGTCCCTTTGGGGACAGCTTACCTGGGAATTTCTGAGTGTCCCGTGGAGAGGGGACAATAATGGTTTGCACTCAGGGTCTGTTTGGGAAGCGTGGCCTAGTGGTCATGGTCACAACCCCAGACAGCCAAGGGGGTCGTGGGAAGGGGAGCCCTGGCCCTCCCACTCTACCGGGCTCCGACTCAGGGCCCTTTTAGCTACCAGTGACCTGGCAACCAAGACTACTTAAGTCTGTCCTCCCTGGGCCTCTTCCTCTCGTCTCCTACCCTGGGGTCACCTCAGTCCAAGTCCTTCACCTGATGGGAAAATCCAAATCCCAAGGAAGCAATAGGGAGTCGCCATTGTCCAGGGCCACAGAATACTCCCCTTTCTCCTTGTCTATGCGGAGGGTCCTCCCTTTCCATACAGAGGACCCGTTTGGGCAGCTGCACCAGAGCCTTTAGGTTTGGTTTTGCTCTGCTCTGCTCATCTGCTCACCTTCATCACCACTTGCCAACTGAGCTAATTCGCTGCCTTTTAATTCCTCCAGCAGATGGAGCATTTGCTCCAGGTGTGGCAGGGCAGAACTGGCCGAGAAAACGTCACAGCCGGAACCTGCAGTGTGTGGAGCTCAGGTATGGTGAAATAACACCTCCAAGGAGCTTAAAAAAAACAAACAAACAAACAAAAAAACCCCACCTCCAGTGCTGGGGATTGCACAAGCTCCCTTGGAAGCTATTCCAGAGCTTAAGTACCCGCATGGTTAGAAAGTTTTTCTAATCTCTAATCTAAATCATCCTTGCTGCAGCTTAACACTTTTACCTCTCATCCTCCCTTCAGTGGCCATGGAGCACAACTGATCCCCAGTCTCTGTATAAAAGCCCCTAACATGTCTGCAGGCCATCCCCAGTCTGCTTTTCTCAAGACTAATAGACCCACTTTTTTTAACCATCCCCTGCAGGTCGGGTTTTCTAAACCTTTGATCATTTTCTGTTGCTCTCCTCGGGACTCAATCCAATTTGTCTTCATCTTTCCTAAAGTGTGGGGTGCCCAGAATTGGACACAGGACTCCAGCTCAGCTAACCTCAGTGCGGAGCAGAGGGAGACAACGACCTCCTACAACACTCACGTTAATACACCCCAGAATAATACCAGCCTTTTCCCCAGCTGCATCAATGTGTGACAGCCAGACAGCGTCTGAGTGAGTCCATTAAAGACCATTCTTCCCCCCACCCATTATTGAAGACAAGGGACGCTGGGAGTTTGAGAAACTAAATTCTACTTTATTCTTTTCAAACCAAGAAATAAAAGCTAAATCCCAACCAACCATCTCTTCTAATGGTGCTGTCTGAATGCAGAGGGGGCAGGGAGAAGGGGCAGAGGGGGTGAGTGATGAGGCAGCACCTCTCTGCCCCTGTGGTCTCCCTCACCTCTTATCCCATGAGCACCAAACACTCGATAGCCCCAGCACCCAGCTCCCCCTGCTTCCCAGCTCCCGCAGCCCCAGCCATTCAATCCCCAGAGTCGTCCCCATAACCCATCCCCCTGGTACCTTAACTGTTGATGCCCCAGAGCCCAGCACCCTGGGGGATTCAGGGAGGGGAGGAGTTACCAGCCCCCACGGACACTTGCCCTGCAGGGAACAACCCCAGGTAAGTGGGGAAGCCCAGCCCAAGAGCTAGGGGGTGGGGACAGGTGTCTAGAGTGAAGGTGGGGCCTGGCCCAAAGGTCCTTCGCCTCGTCTCCATGGCAGGGGGAATCCAGGCTGGGAAGGGAAGAGAGAGGGGCATGGGCGGCGGGTATAGTAAGCTGGGGGAGGCCATGCCTCCCGAAACACCCTAGCATGGCCCCACCCACACTCCACTAGGCCCCCTCCTGCCTGCTGGAGCAGAAGTGGCAGGGCCTCAGGCAGAGGGGGATGGGCCAGGGGCTAGCCTCCCCCCAAGGGCACGTTCACCCACCGTCCATGCAGATGGGGAACTTCAGCCAGGCAGAGGGAGCATCTGGAGGAGTTTTTCTCTCTCTCCCTTCCCGCACCTGTGGCCCATCAGCTCAGCAGCCAGGGCTGCAGCAGGGGGGAGGGGCTGATCCGGGCTTCTCCTCCTCTGCCTGGGGTTTGCTTAGACCAGGCAGAGCCAGAGGGTCACTGACCAGCTGCTGCTCGGCTGCTGCTGGATCCTCACCCCAGCGATGGACAGCTGGATCTTTGGGAGCCAATGCCCCTGCTGTGTGTGGGAATGAGGAAATGGGTTTGTCACCATGGCCGGCCCCAGTCAGGCCCCTGAGAGAATTTCCCTGCTGTGTGGAGGAGTCTCTGATGTCCAACATGGTGTTAGCTCCACTTGGAGCATTTTCCACACTGAGAACATCTCAGAGGTTTCTTCCCTGTGCGGATTTGCAGATGCCTGATACTCCGGGAGCATCAAATGAAGCTTCCCCCACATTCAAGGTCTCTGTTGTGTGGGTCACTGAAGCGTGAAGTCAAATTGAATCTTTTCCTGCAGTGAAGCTATTCCTAGGGTCTCTCACCTTTGTGGCTTCTCTCATGTTTGGTAAGCTCTGAAGTCTTACTGAAGCTTTTCCCACAGTCAAGGCATTTATAAGGTCTCTCTCTTGTGTGGATTCTCCTGTGTTTAGTAAGGTATGAGCGCTGACTGAAAGTTTTCCCACAGTCCAAGCATTTATGGGATTTCTCTCCTGTGTGGGTTTTCCGATGCATATTAAGGCCTGATTTGAAACTGAAACTTTTCCCACACTCAGGGCATTTGTAGGGTTTCTCTCCTGTGTGCGTTCTCCCATGTTGAGTAAGATGTGAGCGCTGACTGAAAGTTTTCCCACACTCAAGGCATTTATAGGGTCTTTCTCCTGTGTGGATTCTCCTATGTTTAGTAAGGGCTGAACTTGCAATAAAACCTTTCCCACAGTCGAGGCATTTATAGGGTCTTTCTCCTGTGTGGATTCGCCCATGTTTGATAAGGGATGAACTTTGCATAAATCTTTTCCCACACTCAAGGCATCCATAGGTTCTCTCTCTTGTATGGGTTCTCTGATGTCTAGTAAGCTTTGAGCTCTCACTAAAACTTTTCCCACAGTCAAGACATTTAAAGGGTCTCTCTCCTGTGTGCACTCTCTGGTGTAGAATAAGTTGTGACTTCTGAATGAAGCTTTTCCCACAGTCCAAGCATGTATGGGGTTTCTCTCCAGTGTGGATTGCCTGATGTCTAGTGAGGTTTGTTCTGTCAACTAAACTTTTCCCACAATCGAGGCATTTATAGGGTTTGTCACCTCTATGTGTTCTCTGATGCTTAATAAGGTGTGAGCTACGAATGAAATCTTTCCCACACTCAAGGCATTTATAAGGTCTTTCTCCTGTGTGGATTCTCTTATGTTTAGTAAGGGATGAACTTTCCATAAAACTTTTCCCACACTCGAGGCATTTATAGGGTCTTTCTCCTGTGTGGATTCTCCTATGTTTAACAAGGGATGAACGTTCCATAAAATTTTTCCCACACTCAAGGCATTTATAGGGTCTTTCTCCTTTGTGGATTCTCCTATGTTGAATAAGAGATGAACTTTGAATAAAACTTTTCCCACACTCAAGGCATTTATAAGGTCTCTCTCCTGTGTGGGTTCGTTGATGTGTAATAAGCTGTGATTTCTGAATAAAACTTTTCCCACACTCACAGCATTTAAAGGGTCTCTCTCCTGTGTGCACTCTCTGGTGTATAATAAATTGTGACTTCTGAATGAAGCTTTTCCCACAGTCCAAGCATTTATGCGGTCTCTCTCCTGTGTGGATTGCCTGATGTCTAGTAAGTTTTGTTCTGTCAAAGAAACTTTTCCCACAGTCGAGGCATTTATAGGGTTTGTCGCCTCTGTGTGTTCTCTGATGCTTAATAAGGTGTGAGCGGCGAATGAAATTTTTCCCACACTCAAGGCATTTATAAGGTCTCTCTCCTGTGTGGATTCTCCTATGTTTAATAAGGTCTGAACTCTGACCAAAAGTTTTCCCACAGTCCATGCATTTATAGGGTTTCTCCCCTGTGTGGGTTCTCTCACGTTTAATAAGGGCCGATCGCACAGTGAAAACTTTTGCACACTCAAGGCATTTATAAGGTTTCTCTCCCATATGCAGTCTCTGCTGTATAATAAGAAATGACTTCTTACTGAAGTTTTTCCCACAGTCTATGCATTTATAGAAGTTCTCTCCTGTGTGGGTTCTCCAATGTGTAAGAAGGTTTGCACTGAAATGGAATCGTTTCCCACAGTCAAGGCATTTGTAGGGTTTCTCTTCATTGTGACTTGTCTGCTGCATTGTGGTTTCCTTGAGATCCTTACATCCTCCGCCACATGTAGTGGATTCATCCAGTTTGTTCCTGGGATAGTTTCCCAGCTGCATCTCTGATCCGTGTCGATCTCCCCAGGCTTCTCCCTGTTCCAAGCACTGGGAAAAATTCCGTTCAGCTCTTCTCAAAAACCTCTCCTGCGGTTTCACTTGCTCAGGATCTTCCTCCTGTTGATTCTCCTCCTTGTTCTCACTCACTGTCCTATCGCCTGCTGGGAGAGAGAGAATCCAGACAGGAGTCATTGCCTGTGCCAGGGAGAAAGGACTGAAAGGGGAATAGCAAAGAGGGAAAACACAACACAGTGACTGTTGGGGAGATGGAGATGTTGGATTCTGCCACCACATCCCACCGTGACTGATATTTGCCTTGATGCTATGACACCTGCTGACTGCAGCCCTCACTTAGGTGAGATGGGGCAGAACTGAGGGCTCTCGCTCACAGCACATTTTGGGAGTCCCAGCTTTTTCCTTCACTCACCAGATGTTTCTGTCTCAGTTTCCCTCATTCCTCACCTGTGCAGGTGCCTCTCGGGTTCTCCATTTCCTCCCAGGCCTGGAGATCTGGGACCCATGGCTCTTCCCCTCGTTCCAGCTGGGCGATCAGCTCAGGTTTGGGAACGTGAAATCCTGCTCAGAGGGTGAACATAAGAACGGCCATACTGGGTCAGACCGAAGGTCTACCTAGCCCAGTATCCTGTCTGCCGACAGTGGCCAATGCCAGGTGCCCCACACAGAATGAACAGAATAGGTGATCATCAAGTGATCCATCCCCTGTCACCCATTCCCAGCTTCTAGCAAACAGAGTCTAGGGACAGCATCCCTGCCCATCCTTGCTAATAGCCATTGATGGACCTGTCCTCCATGAACTTATCTAGTTTTTTTTTAACCCTGTTGTAATCTTGGCCTTCACAACATCCTCTGGCAAAGAGTTCCACAGGTTGACTGTGCGTTATGTGAAGAAACACTTCATTTTGTTTGTTTTAAACTAGCTGCCTATTAGTTGCATGTGGTAAATCATGCAAGGTCAGGACGCATGGAGTCTTGGTAGAGTATTTTTCACAAGGAACGTTCCCTGAGTTTAACCTGACCCTACATGGGATTGTGGTAACTCAGACCCATTAGGAGCAGATGACATCGGGGGGCGGGGGTGTTGTCACGCCCTCACTAGGAGGTCTCAGGGTAGAAGCGCTCTGGGGGACTTGCTGACATACACACAGCTCGGGTGTTAAACTGCTGCCTATTTCCAAAGCTGCAGAACCTAGAACCCTCCCCATGGATGGAGCTAGTCCCAGGAAGGAAGGTGAACTGTGTGTGAAGGAGAAATAATACAGGCAGAACAATACCCTGCTTCTGGCCCCTTGAAAGCTGGCAAGACGGGGATGAATTAGCCTGTCCATTCGGTTTCTGACTCCCTTGTTTCCTTGAATGGGGTATGGAGTGTCTCTCACACTGGAGCTGTGGACTACGCGACCCTCCCCGCCAATGCAACGGACCAGGGAAGAACCTGACCAGATTCAGACACGCAGACCCCACAGCTTCTAATAGCTGAGGGCCCAGGAATCCCTTACCCAGCGAGGTCACCATCTCATAGTTCTCCTGCATGACGTCCCTGTAGACAGCTCTTTGCCTGGGGTCCAGCAGAGCCCCCTGACCCTCGGTGAAATACACAGCCACGTCCTCGAAGGTCACCGGCATCTGAAACATCAGTTCCCCTACTCAGCGCCTGCTGCCCCAGCTACAATCCCACTAGTCACAGGGGAGGAGGCCCAGAAAAGCAGAATCCCACCCCCACCCTGCTCAGAGCAGCCAGGAGACTTCAGGGGGTGGGGAGAAGGTGAGAGCTCCTTGTCCCCCCAGCAGATGGAGCAGGGCAGGGTCTTCTCATTTCCCACACGCCTGCCAGCCACAGGCTGATGCGGGAAGCAGAGCTCTGAGCCGGGGACAGGAATCCCAACAGCTTCCCTTCGTATTTCACAGCAGCCTGTGGCCAGTGGGGTGAGGCTACAGCACTGGGAGTCTGGTCAGTTTTCCCAGCCCTGCCCAGGGGGGTGTTTCCTGTATCAGAAATGGGGGAATGTCTCCCCCTCCCCCCACCCGCCAATGGGTCTGTTCAGAAAAATCAGGCTTCAAGTTGAACCTGTTCCAGCAGGTTTATCACACCCTGTCCCATCCCTGCCTCCCCCTGTGTGTTTTCTGCCCCTTCCCCCTCCCCCCTCGCAAATCCCCCTGCACCTCCATGAAAATCCCCTACCTGAGCTGGCTCCATCACAGCCATTTCCCTTCCCTGTCCCCTGGAAGACGGGACGATCTGGAGCGAAACGCGGACGTGATTCCTCAGCCTGTCAGGGCGAGAGGGGTGATGCGAGAGGTTTCAGAAGGGGATTGAATCCATTTCACACCCTGATTCCCCCCAGGCTCTCTCCCTGCAGACAGACGCTCTGGACTCTGCCATTCTGGGAAAACCCTCAGTCACTTTATTCCAACACAGACCCGGCCCCTCCCAGCACTGAATCCCTGAGACACTTTTAAACCCTCCCAGGTTTAAAAGACAAATACTAGAAAAGCAGAATGAAAGGAACCACTTTGGGGGATTTCCCCTGACATTGGCCCGGAGGGCAGGGCGCTGCTGGGACCGGCTTTTCCTCTGTCAGCTCCTCTCCTTGTTCCCAGGAGAGTCAGTCGGCCCAGGGGGATGCAGGGAATGGATCCGGGCAGGGCTGGGAACTGGGAACCTCCCTCCCCACTTCTTGCTCCTGCTGCCCCTTTCGGTCTCACCCCTCCCCTTCCTGTCTCCATCCCTCTCCCCTCTGCCTGGGAGAACTGGGGACTGTCCCGTTCCCATGGGCGTTGGCTCTCCAGTGTGAGCCTGGCTGTCACTGAGGGCAACAACTCTGGGAGCCGCAGACACGGGGGAGCCCCTCCGCCCCCCCCGGTATAAACTCACCAGCTGCAGGTCCCGGAAAGGGGCCCTTTGTGCAGAGTCACTTTCCTGCTCAGCTCCAGCCCTTTCCCCTGGGTCTCTCCCAGTCACCTACAGGCTCTGGCTCAGGAGTTGGTGCGGGCAGAGCCCGGGGCTGCCCCAGGGGGCTAGTTCCAGCCACTGGAGAAAGTGCCCACCCAGACTGGGCACAGCAGGGGCTTTAATGAAGGTCTGTCCCTGGCACAGACCCCACTGGGGAGCAGCAATTTCCCAGTCTGGGCCCTCAGGTAGAGGAGGCAGCAGTATCTGACCCAGGAAGCTCAATTCAAGGGCTCTAACATCAGGAGCAGAGAGAGAGACACACCCGCCGCCTCCTCTCCCTGAGCAATAGCCAGAGCCCTCTGGTGGCAGCAGCTAATGACTGAGCCTCCCTGTGCAACCTCTGCAGCTCCCAGGGACAGGCAGGCAGGGGCTGATCCCATTGGCCCATCTAGTGTGGCTGAGATGTGAATCCTGCCTGGAAATCAGACCAGGGCCGTGGGCAGCCCTGAACACTCAGGAGACAGACCCCAAAATCATGAGTGCATCTGAAAATTATACACTGGGGTGGGGTGGGGGGGGGTGGGGTCTAGATATTTGCCTTGTAGCTTCTGAGCCCTGAGGGGTTAATCCCCTACCCACCCACCCCCCATACTTTTTTCACCAGTTACAGGGAAACAATCCCTGCTGGCTGCAGGGTGGGGCAGCCCCTCACCCTCTCCTACCCCATGGTGTGGGGGAGCTGCCATTGTATCTCTCCTCACCCTTCTCCCTGCCCACGGCTCTCCCTTCCCCAAGCAGGTGTAGTGTAACAAACTGCTATCTGACATAACTTGCTACTTCGGTTCCTCCGTGCCTCCAAGCCAGCCCTGTCCCGCCACCCCGCCCCCGGGGGTGCTGCATAGGGCCTCAGAATAGCTAGGGACAGCCCTGTTGAAGGAGCTTGGGTGAAGCCCATGGTGAGGCCCTGTCAGAGGGTGACAGAGGACAAAACCCCAGCACAGGCAGGGGGGGTAACAGTTACCCCAGTGGACTGAGACACCAGTGTTTGCAAAAATAGAGTGTGTGCAGTGGCAAAGGGGCTTTTTTATTTCCCCTCCTGCAGACAGCACCTCTCAGCATGGGCTTCCCAGGGCTAGGTTCTTAAAGGCACAGGCATCCAAATGACTAGTCACTGCAGCTCCTCTTTGTCTGATGAAACCTACTGAGGTGCTGTGAAAAGAACAGGAGTACTTGTGGCACCTTAGAGACTAACAAATTTATTTGAGCATAAGCTTTCGTGGGCTAAACCCCACTTCATCAGATGCATGCAGTGGAAAATACAGTAGGAAGATATATATACACAGAGGACATGAAAAAATGGGTGTTGACAATAAGGAGTTTTTTTTCTCCTGCTGATAATAGCCCACCTTAATTGATTAGTCTTGTTATAGCTGGTATAGCAACACTCATTTTTTCATGTTCTCTGTGTATATATATCTTCCTACTTTATTTTCCACTGCATGCATCCGATGAAGTGGGTTTTAGCCCACGAAAGCTTATGCTCAAATAAATTTGTTAGTCTCTAAGGTGCCACAAGTACTCCTGATCTTTTTGCTGATACAGACTAACACAGCTACCACTCTGAAACCTGAGGTGCTGTTGGAGACTTAATTTAGTGAAATATTTTACATACACCCCTTCAGAAACAAAGAATCCCTTATCGGTGTATCTGACTGCATAAAGTCTCACAGCAGTTCACCAATTTGTCTCATCTGTTGCTGGGATTCCCTGAATTCCCTGATTTTCTGAATTCCTCTTAGCACTTCATCATTTAGCTTTGTTATTGTGCAGATGCATGTCATTGTGCTATTTAATTTATATTTTAACAACAAATGCTCATTGAAAATATGCATAAGAAAGTACTTGCTAGTAGTTTTAGCAATGACATCTGTGTTTCTAGTATTGCCCTTGCTTCCAGTATTGCCCTTGGCTTCCAGTATTACTGGAATTTCTAATTTGGAATTTTTAATTCTCACTTTTTCTTCTTATTTTTAGAGCAGAAGTTTATTCTGTTGGATCATCTGACTTCCAGTCTGACTGAATTTCTGGCCTGGTCTCAAAACTTTGTTTTCATTTAATCCACCAATAGTGATTGCCTTTTACAACTGCTATTTTGCCTCTCAACCCAGCCTTTAGTGTTTTTCCACATGCCATTGCTTGTGTGTAGAACTTGATTCTCAAATATGCAATAGAGGCAGATTACTGTCTCATGGATCATCCTTCTCAAAGGCAAAAATCAATTGTAATTTTTGCTGAACATTAGAACTGCCGTAGTGGGTCAGACCAATAGTCCATCTAGTCCAGTGTCCTGTCTTTTGACAGCAGCCAGTGCCAGGTGCTTCAGAGGGAATGAACAGAACAGGCAATCACTGAGTGAACCATCCCATCGTCCACTCCGGGCATCTGGCAGTCAGAGGTTTAGGGACACCCTCCCCCTCCCCCGGTACAAACTCACCAGCAGGTCCCTGAAAGGGGCCCTTTGTGCAGAGTCACTGTCCTGCCCGGCCCCAGCCCTTTCCCCCGGGTCTCTCTCCTCACTTGGAGGCTCTGGCTCAGGAGCTGGTGTCGGCAGAGCCTGTGGCTGCCCCAGGGGGCTACTTCCAGGCACAGCGCAAGTGCCCACCTGGGTTGGGCACAGAGGGGCTTTAATGAAGGTCTGTCCCTGGACCCTGGTACAGCCCCAGCTGGGGAGCAGCAGCTTCACAGTCTGGGCTCTCAGGTAGAGGAAGCAGCAGCATTTGACACAGGCAGCTCAACTCCCGGGCTCTAATATCAGGAGCAGAGAGAGACAGGCACCAGCCTCCTCCTCTCCCTGAGCAATAGCCAGAGCCCTCTGGTGGCAGCAACTAATGACTGAGCCTCCCTGTGCTACCCCAGGGACAGGCAGCCCCCAGGGACAGGCAGGCAAAAGCTGATCCCAGTGACCCATCGGCACTCACCCCCTGCCAGAGCCAGCAGTGACTCCGGTCTGACACCTGAATCCTGCCCAGAAATCAGAGCAGGGCCCTGAGCAGCCCCCAACACTCAGGAGACAGACCCCAAAACCATGAGTGTGTCTGAAAATAATAAACTGGGAGCAGGGTGTTGTGACAAAGTGGGAATGTTCTTAATGTTTTCTCTGAATACTGTGTGGGTGCCTCAGTTTCCCCTATTCATTTCTTAAGTATCTAGGTGGTGGCATAAGGGTGTGTGATTGTTGCAGAGCCTTAGAGGGCCAGTGTGATGCTGTCTGCATAGAGAATGGCTGACACCATGTCTCCTGGCAACTGATGGCCTGGGCCCCTCCCCTGCAAAGGTGCCAACTGAAGATGTTGGAGAACAAAGAGATCAGGTGGCCTCCTAGCCAGGAAAGAGACAAAGGCCAGAGGAGGGGCTGGAGAGTTTCAGTTTGGAGCTGGCTGGGGAAATGGAGGGAGGCCAGATGGGGCTCTGGCCTCCCTGGCCCCAAGATGGACCTGACTTAGGGATCCTGTTCTCTGTACCTACAAGCCCTGTTTTAGACCGTGTTCCTGTTGTCTAATAAACCTTCTGTTCTACTGGCTGGCTGAGAGTCACGTCTGACTGCGAAATTGGGGTGCAGGGTCCTCA